AGAGCTTAGAAAAAATTCGCAGTGTGAGATAGGCAAGAAGTAAGGCATGTAGCAACATCAGCATGGCAAAGGGCACTCCTTTAAAGGCAAGGAAGGGTAAAAATATTTTAAGTCAAGTGATAGCGATTGCTGTATAAGTCGTACGATTTTTGAATCAAGCACGGGCAACGCCGGGCCATGCTGCTAGTCAAGAATAAAGGTTACAAAATGACTTATTGATGCAAGAGGGCCAATGATATTTTTCCCATGTTAAATGTTTTTTTGTTGTTTTTTTTTGTACTATTGTTTCGCATTAAAATTAAAATTTTGTTGTGGCATAACTGTAAATTAATTCAAATCCATTATTTCATCATTTGTGAAAAATGCAAATGTAGTTCCCATAAAAATTTGTAGTATTCCAGCTATATTTGTAATTAAGGAAGGCTGGGTGAATAATTCTGTCCACAATTATATATATATATATATATATATATATATATATATATATATATATATATATATATATATATATACTAGCAGTATAACCCGTCTTCAACCAGGTTTTTCCATTACTGGGAATTTTTATCGTTCAATTGGAGCAATTTAAATTTGAGTCATCCCACCTGAAATTAGTACAGTGTAACCCGGATATAAGAGACCCGGATATAAGAGAAACCCGGATATAAGAGTGATTTTCTCTGGTCCCAAATTAGAGCCTGTGTTAATGTATATAAAATAGACCAAACCCGGATATAAGAGAAACCCGGATATAAGAGAAACCCGGATATAAGAGAAACCCGGATATAACAGACTTCGTCTCCGGTCCCGACAACTCTCTTATATCCGGGTTACACTGTAACAACAATTTGGTGCAACTGAAGCACATCCCTAAATTGGGGTTTAACAATTTGATTGGGGAGTGGTCCTGGAAAGGTTCCTTTTTGCGTTCTTAATCTTGCAAGGAAGGATCATCTTCCATGGACCTTCATAATAATAACATACGATAATTTTTATTTATAATAGAATTTTTTTTATATATATTTCTAATAATCGTTTGCGTTAGATTCTCTAAATTGATTGTACGCTGTTTTTTACAGACATGAAATTTTGCCTTTGATTTTTGAGCAAAGTGGAAAAAAACAGTTTTTTTCGATTTTTCCCCTTCAAGGTTTTAATTTTTCCAGCCAATTTGGACTCAAAAAACAGCACTGAAGAATTATCTATCGAACAAAAAAAACTTCATCGAAATCGGCTGAAAACTGTGGAAACGCATAAACAACATCCGATCACACACACATACATACGCACATACACATTTTGAGAATTATATATATATATATATATATATATATATATATATATATATATATATATATATATATATATATATACATACATGGGCAGGAAAATTTCATAGGCTGACTGTGAAATCTTGCATGCATTAATTTCAACTCTTCTTGTGCGTTGTTTATTTCCAGGTAAACTGACAGGTGACTTCGAAGAAGCCTTCAAAAGTAACTAGTAGCTACTTCTCCTGAAAATGGATAAAATTTGACATCATGGTGTTACCAAGTAACTGCATAAAATGTTTTAGCCTCCAAGCGGTATTCATACTCTCATGGTTGGTACATTAGCTTTATCAACAGTGCAAAAATGGCCAGCTGAATTTAGGAGAGGAAGGCAGTCTTGAAAATGACCCAAAATCTGGACATCATACAACTGCAACCACCGAGGAAAACATTGATCGTGTTCACCACATGATAATTGATGACAGGCGACTGACGATAACATACACACACAAACGGACGCCTATGAATAGTATATACATAATTTTGCATTAATGCTGTTCAACAAAAAATAATAACCAATGCCGCTTCGTTTTCTCTCTCGTCATATCAATCTGTTATTCGAATTTCAGTCAAAAGCAGTCGACATTTTGCTCTGAAATATTTCTTTAATTTCCTGACTCACTTTTACAAACATTAACAAAAGCCTATCCGACCCGACGCCATTCTGACAGAAGTTGCGTCTCTGCTAACAAAAACTTTTTTTTTTCTTTAATTATTTCTTTACATACTTTTCAATCAATTTCATTCACTATTTCTTACTCGTTGCAAATACGTTTAGAGAAATTTTGAATTGTGAAATATTCCTATATTTTCAGATTCCACGTTGAAGTGAAATAAAAGAAAAATCGAGGTGGAAATTCTTTCCACTTCTAAGAATAGAAAACTGAATTATGCCAAAGTTTGATAAGGGTGAATTGTTTTGCATATTGGGAGAAAAAAAAACTGTTTTTAAATAAAATTCTGAACCCTGTTAGTTTCCATAAATAGCTTGTTTTTTTTTTTTTTGTTTTTTTTTTTTCACTAACAAATGTCTTTCCGCTTACTTGGGCAGATGTTATTTTCAGATGACATTTTTTAATACTAAAGTTCACCAATATAAGGGCTCGAAAGGCATTCAAGGTAGAGAATTATTGTGAAAATGGTTACAATGAATGGGGCGTGTATAAAAGAGA